AGGGTTCTCCTCAACCTGTAACAATGCCACGCAGCAGACGACAAATGATAATTAAAAATAATCAACGAACAATACACGCAGGGTTCTCCTCAACCTGTAACAATGCCACGCAGCAGAAGACAAACGATAATTAACAACAAATAATACACACAGTGTTCTGCTCAACCTGTAACAATGCCACGCAGCAGAAGACAAACGATAATTAACAACAAATAATACACACAGTGTTCTGCTCAACCTGTAACAATGCCACGCAGCAGAAGACAAACGATAATTAACAACAAATAATACACACAGTGTTCTGCTCAACCTGTAACAATGCCACGCAGCAGACGACAAACGATAATTAACAACAAATAATACACACAGTGTTCTGCTCAACCTGTAACAATGCCACGCAGCAGACGACAAACGATACTTAAAAATAATTAACAATGAACAATACACACAGGGGTCTCCTCAACCTGTAACAACGCCACGCAGCAGACGACAAACGATTAACAACAAATAATACACACAGTGTTCTCCCCAGGCCCACAACAACGCCACGCAGACGACAAACAAACAACAATCAATACCCGCACAGCTCTCACCAGGCCCACAACGCGCGTCAGGTCCGACGCACCTTCAAAGTTAATCCGCGACACGCCGGGAATCCCCGATATTGCGCCTTAATTGCGTAATCGACGAGTCCTAAATTAACCATCCGTGTTCATTTTTGGGAACGACGACATGACGTATGACGTGTTACCACAGCTTGATGTATATACGCGTACGTCAGTCGCTCGACATGAGTTGCCCATGAGTTGCGGAAGCTGCAGGCATCTCTCGTCAGCGTCCTTTTGCAGGCGATCTAACGAAATTTCAATGCACCCCGTTCTGTCCCAGTATAACGCATCCAAAATATAAAATGTCATCTGGGACAGAATTATTCGGCCTAGGTCTGCAGTAGCTCTAGTACGCCTACTATAGCCCGTGTACAGTTGCCGCAGGCCTATAGGCAGGGAGGTGAATTTCACTGTAGGATGACTTAAATTCCATCTTGCATTCTAGACATCAAAATTACTGCTCAAATGCTCTCAGAATATACCAATTTTTACGAGAATATATCAATCGTACCCTCTCCGTACGGAGGGAGAATCTACTCCCCGCGGCACGATGACCGCCGGCGACGGGAGATGAAAATCGCGACGCGCCGCGGTCGCCCCTCGCGATGCATTTCGATCTCCGTCGGCGACAGAGTACTCTTTCAACGATGACAACGCCGAGAAGATTAGAATCGCGATGTGCCCGCGCGACGCGATTCGATCTTCTTCCGCGATGAAAGGCTCGATACACAATAATAGCGCCAATAAGATGGGAATCAAAACGTGCTTCACGATACGTTTCGTACCTCCTCATTGGCACCAGAGCGCGCTGTCTGTTAGCGACCTTTCAACACGCCGCGGTCTGCGAGGTCAAAGGTCACACGTGCCTCATGACACGTGTGTCGGAAACAAGTAACCCTCCTCTATCTCATTTCCCCTTTCGTTATGTTTTCCCTTGCATGATCCTCTTTGTGTATTGTCGTGTTAACCCCTCCAGCCGTTACCACCGGTCTTTGATTCGAGAATTCGCCAAAAATCGCGATACATCCGAGCGACGCGTTTCCATCTCTGCCGTCGGCACCAGACGGCGCCGTCGGTCGACGACCTTCGCGGCCCCCCAAGGTCGCGCGCCCGCCTGCTTCCTGACACGTACGCTGGAAACAGGTAATCCTTGGAGAGCTCCAGGTTGTCGTTGTAGCCGAACTTTCTCAGCACGGTCCACGTCGTCTCGTGGCGCCCTCTCTGGATGAACAGTGTGTGTAGAAATAGAAAACCTGGCGACGAAAAAACAAGACGCGCGTGGAAGAACGACGAACCGACATGCACGGAACATCTCACTTATGCGGCAGGTAAAATTCGCGCGACGTGCAGATGCCACGAACGACTGTATTCGTTTGTTTCAATGTGCAGGCATCGCATAAAAAAAACTGCAATCGTTAACGAGCATTGTCAGTGAAAACCCACTTCTCAGAGCAGGGGACAGTTTTCACAGCAACCCAATTCTTAGACCAGCAGATTGTATCTGCCTCTCTCCCATTGCCATGACAACACTCTTCTTAGAGCAGCGAATGACATCCACCAGTCTCCCGTCACCACGGCAACGCACCCTCGAATGAGGCCGACACTCCCCGCCCGCCTCCCATTGCCGTGACAACACACCAACATGACCGACGCTCCCCGCCCCGCCTCCCGTCGCCCGCGACGACGCACCTTTGAGCGTGAGTCCGTCGTTGACGACCCCGTCGCTCGTGTTCTTGCGCACGACCTCCTTGACATCCTCGAGCGCCTGCGGCGGCAGCGGCGCGTTGAAGCATCGTCGCTGGAACGCGTTCACCTCTCCGTCGCTCAGCCGGCCGTCGTTGTCGTCGTCGCAGATCTGCGGAAACAAGTGAACGGTTCTATACAGTTTATGATTACAGAGGGGAGGGTTAGGGCATGAATGTAAAGTATAAATGTGTTCCTTTAAACCAAACTTCGCAGCTAAAGTCAATTAGGCTGTTATATATCAGAGACGTCTACTGAACGGACACCTGTCTATAAAGGACACTTTCAATTATTGAGTAGACAATACACAGTGAAACCACCCCTACATTTCAGACACCTGTGTATAAGGGACACTTTTGGCATATCCCCTGATTAACCCTTACTGGTGTGACTGCAGCTTGTACCACCACGCTTTCCACGCGTTCTGGTTTTACATACAGCCTCGCCACAAACAAGACAACGACCGCCGAGACGCACCCACCTTGAAGATGCGCGTGAGAGCACGCTTGCAGGCGGCTGTTAACTCTTTCTCCTCCGGAACGTACAGGGGAGCCGTCGGATGAAGCACCGCTTTCTGAGCGTAGTAGAACACCTCCGAGATGTTCTTTAGGTTCTTCGCGGAACACTGGAACGACGGCATACGTTCAGAACAGCGCGAGGCAGACGCTGCGACGAATAAGTTAGCAAAGTTTCGATGAAAACACTTTTAGTAATATAAAAAAAATATGATATATAATTTATATTACTTATAACTAATATAAAATAATTAAGATATGTAATAAATCCATACTAGCGACACATGAGTGCTTAGATATGTCCACTAAGATACATGTGGTTTGGAAATGAGTCTGAAAACCCAACCAAGTTCCCGATTTCCAGAATTTTGATTTCTACTACATAACCTTATAACAAAATCCACAAAAAAGAACAAGTCCTGCTCCAAATTTAACTAGACCTGGACTGGAGGATAGAACAGGCTACTATTTCCAACACTGCCAGTATAGGATCGTGTGCATAGGCTCGTAGTAGGCACGTGTGCGACAATGGGAGTGTAAGCGTGTCCGCGAGGCTACACGCTCCCCTGTGATTCTGTCACCTCTATGCACGTCTCCACCTCCTGGTACTGATTCATCACAGGCAGTAGCTGCTCCATGGAAGTGTTCTCGTGAACGTCCGACTTGTTTCCCACGAGGATCACGGGCGTCTTGTGGTCGTCGCCCAAGCACTGCCTGATCGTCGGAAGCCAGTAGCTCGTTATCTGCAGACGAGAATTCGCGCGGTCGCTATGACAACCATATGACTAACGGACAAAAAATATGAAGTGCATTTCCCCCCCCCCGAGTACTGGTATGAAATTTCCCTAAAATGAAGAAAAAGAAGAACGCAGCTAACGGAAAGAAATAAGAGGTGCTTTTCCCTGAATACTGGTATGAAATTTCCCTAAAATGAAGGAAAAAAAACCACACAACTAACAGAAAGAAATAAGAGGTGTGTTTCCAGCAAATACTGGTCATGGATGAAATTCGCTAAAATGAAAAAAAAAAGAACTAAACGAAGCGAAACTGAAACCAGAAGAAAACCACGATCGGATGTCACTCAGAATTACTCGCGCAGTATCAAACATTCTCACCTTTTCTATCGATTCCATGAAATCCACTGCATAGACGATGCAGATGACATTGGCTCGATGAATCTCATCGAACAGCGTGTCCTCCGTCTGCTCTGAAACTGTAGCAGAAGATGCAGTCTTTGTCAGGGGTCGAATAAGAAAATTTCCACGGAACGGAGAGTAAGTAGGGCAGTGCGTGCTATGGATATCGGTCAATCTTGCAAGGCTCATACAATTGTTTGTATTCGCTTAACAGCCTTGTTTGGCCAAAATTAAAGTGAAATGAGTTTGATCTTATAGATTGGCACGCTAGAGCCCACGCATTCAATTTGCTGGCTAAGGTAGTTATTTATTGTGCCGCCAGCTACAGCCTATCACACCTTGCTGCAAAGATGGTCCACAGAGTTCCCACATGCATACAATAATGTATAGCCCTGTGTCAACGTGAAAGGCTAGCTGGATAGAGCTTCATGCAGCAATTAAAAAGGGCAACATACTCTGGCATCTGCCCATAGTTGCCACTGTGAAATCCGAGTCCTACTTGGCAAAAGAATGTATATATAATATATG